AGTGAATGACAAAGAAAACGTATATATACGTTTGGACCGTTTAAGGGTTAATATGTTGTGTGAGACGAGGTAGGAATAGATCTGTTTATGAATTAATTTTTCAAAGATTTTAGAGAGCAGTGGTAAGTTAGATATTGGTCTATTGTTTTTCAAGTCAGCTTGGTCACCTCCTTTATGGATCGGAATGACCCTCGCTATTTTGAGGATTATTGGGAAGGTAGATGATTCAGTGGATTTGTTAAAGAGTGTTGCAATAATTGGTGACAATACTTGAGAAGCTTTTTTGTACATAAAAAGCAGGCAAGTTGTTCATGTCTCCTGCCTTGTTTTTAAGGGTGTTGATGATGAGTGAGACTTCTGGTGGGTTGGCTGGAGCTAGGAATAATGTATTTGGGTAGGTACCTATGAGGTAATCTGATGGACGGATGTTTGAGCTTGGTACACCTACCATCCGACTTACGACCTGCTCGACTTACAACCACTCGACTTACGACCGTGTTTTTTATGCCAAATTTCTGGGAAATAAACAACTATTTGTGTTGTACACAGTGTTTATCCTAAACCTTACAGTATAAAATACAGTACTAACAACATAAAAAGTAAAGTAAAACATGAAATACAAAAATAAAACAATAAAATAAAGTCATTACAAAAATGTTTTGTTGATATTATGTAGTAAAGTTCGACTTACGGCCATTTCAACTTACAACCGGTTTCTCGTAACCGAACTCGGTCATAAGTCGGATGGTAGGTGTATTTAGTTCACTAGATTTTTTCCTATGGTGGAGAAGAAAACATTGAGCCTGTTTGCTGTTTCAGTTGGTGTGAGTGGGGGTTCATCTGATTTTGTTAATTTGATTGTTTTGTTTTTGGATAACTTTTTAGTTCCAAGAATTTCAGATAGAGTTTTCCAGGTCTTGTTCATATGACCTTTGATGTTATGTAATCTATTTTCATAATACAATTTTTTAGATCTTCTTATCAAGCTGGTAAGAACTGACAAGTAACGTTTAGATGAGAGTAAGACACATGTGCAACATGTGACGTTTAGACTGGTCTCTAGTTATTTGACCCATTCTGTACTGTTTTTCATATTTATGCTTTGTGTTAATGGATTTGAGGATGCTTGGTGTTAGCCAGGGACTATTCAGTCTGAGAATTGTAAACAAAAGTGTTACGTATTAACCCTTTCAGGAAAAGATAGAGAATCTTTTCCCGATCATAATGACACCAAAAGTTTGAAATTTGATGGAAAACTTACGGAATTATGCTCTCGCAAAGTTAGCGGTCTCGACGATGTTTATGCATCGGCAATTTTTCCCACTTTGAGCCTTATTTTCGGCCAATTCCACTGTACTAGTCGACAAAAGTCATAAATATTTCGCTAGAACTCCATTTTTTCTATCGAATGAGTGCAAGAAATCACCCGTTTACCGATTTCAACTATCCAATACAGTGGTCAGAATTTAGCAATTTTGCCAATTTCACACAAATTTCAAAAGATGCCAATTTCCAAATAGGGTCCAGAATAAACAAGAAACACATTCCTGGCACTAAAATGACATTTCCTCTGTTCATTAGTCACGTCCCAATGCCCCTCTTACATTATTTTGCTTTCCACTTTGAATTTTTATTCTCACAAAAAATAGAAGATTTACTGTTATGCAGACTACTCCATTAGTGTAAAAAATGGTATAAATAATATTGGCGCACTTGTGAAAGAATATTAGAGTCACCAGTTGACGTGTATTGAACTCTTAGCATGATTTGTTTACTTTTGAACTTTGGTAAAAATCGAACATTTCTGCTACTTTGAGCTCAATTTCAAGGTACTTTTCATTGTAAAATCAGTCAAAATCATCTCAATTTCTGTAATATGTCTTCCATTCTATAGAATGAGACCAGGAAAACTAGAATACAACAATAAATACCATACGAAAATACAGTGCAAAGTCACTGTTTTAATCCTAAAACACGTTCAAAGTTTTTTTTTCTCATTACGCACTGTGCTGCAGGATTTTTTTTATATTGCACACACTGTCCACATAGACCCATTCTTTCTTATGTAGGCCTACCAGCTTTCTCTCACTAGATTTGAGGGCGCTAGAATTTAGGCGTACTAGTACGTCAAAAACCCTGGTGCATAAGCCGTACTAGTACGGCTGAAACCCTGAAAGGGTTAAAGGGAGTGAGGTAATGTTTTCCCTCCGCCTGGCTACCACACCTCCATGGTATATAAACAAAATGTTTATATGTTATGTAACATGTTTCAATCAATGAAAAGCAGGGGTGTCACTAGCACGTTAAGAGACCATACAATAAGTGTCAGGGGCCCGAGACTGTTCAACTGCCTCCCAGCACACATAAGGGGGATTACCAACAGACCCCTGGCAGTCTTCAAGCTGGCACTGGACAAGCACCTAAAGTCAGTTCCGGATCAGCCAGGCTGTGGCTCGTACGTTGGTTTGCGTGCTGCCAGCAGCAACAGCCTGGTTGATCAGGCTCTGATCCACCAGGAGGCCTGGTCACAGACCGGGCCGCGGGGGCGTTGACCCCCGGAACTCTCTCCAGGTAAACTCCAGGTACAGTGGACCCCCACATATCGATTACCTCCGAATGTGACCAATTATGTAAGTGTATTTATGTAAGTGTGTTTGTACATGTATGTTTGGGGGTCTGAAATGGACTAATCTACTTCACAATATTTCTTATGGGAACAAATTCGGTCAGTACTGGCACCTGAACATACTTCTGGAGTGAAAAAATATCGTTAACCGGGGGTCCACTGTATAATTTTGAAGAAAATATCATAGATGGATTAATGAAAATGTCTATATTAATGTAAAATAAGACATTTAATGTGCCCAAGAGTGATTATTATTAGTATTGTTTTCCCTCCACCCAGCAACCACACCTCCATAGCATATAAACAGCATGTTTATATGGTATGTAACGTGTTTCTTATATAATTTTGAAGAAAATATCATAGATGGATTAATGAAAATGTCTATATTGACATAAATTTAGACATTTAATGTGCCCAAGTGTGATTATTACATAATAGAGAGATGTCCTCGTGGAGAATGTAAAGAAATCGGGTGGCCCCACGCCATATTTGAAAGACCACTTGCCACATAGAAAGTTTTGGTCATAATTTGAAATCGCCGTATTAGCGGACCGCTGTAAGGCGAAATGCTGAAAAGCAGGGTCCTACTGTATATCAGCAACACTTTTGCAAGTGGCAGGACTCAATGTTGCCATTAGGTGAGTATTAAGTGCCATATTCGTAGCCTCATATCTCATAAGTATTGACCCTAATTTTTTTATTTTAATCCTATAACACTTAGAAAAATATTCTCTTTATTTTCATATAAAAAAACGATTTTTTTATTTTTCAAAATATTCAGGGCACTGGGCGAGAGAAGTATATATACGTTTAGTCCTCTCTGAATGATTGAACCATCACAACAACTCTTCCTCAGCCTTCTGGATAATGCTTTTAGTAATTTTACACCTCCTCCTAATCTCCAAACTATGAATTTTCTGCATTATGTTTATACCACACATTGCCCTCAGACACGACATCTCCACTGCCTCCAACCTCCTCTTACCTGCAACATTCTCAACCCATGCTTCACACCCATATAAAAGTGATGAGTGATCAGACACTGTGTCCTGGGAGTACCTTTTCCTCCTGAGTAATATAGGTCCTGTTTGGCATTTTCTTCCAGAACAGGCCTTATCACACTGTATGCCACTACAATTCTTAAATCTCTCAAACCAACCTTTGCTGGCCTTAAATTCACCATTATGAGCACTAGTTCCAGGCATTTTTTCCTGTTCACCTGGGTGTTAGTCGACGGGTGTGGGTTGCATCCTGGGGGACAAGATTAAGGACCCAATGGAAATAAGTTAGACAGTCCTCGACAGTGTTGAGACTTAAATACTGTCCAAAGGAGAGGTGCCGAGTAGTAGTAGTAGTGAGAATGTAGCCACTGAGAGGTCACGTCCCTCTCAGATCAAACAATTCTCTCTTGAAAAAGTTGTCCAAGGTATTTTCTCTTCTGTACCAAGATGCCATTGTGTTGCACTGTCTGGCAGAGTGAATATCAGAATGGTATACAATACCGACAGGCTGGTAGGTAAGACACATAGGCAACATTTAGGCAACTTTATTCCGAAATGTTTTGCCTACACAGTAGGCTTCTTCAGTTGAGTACAGAAAGTAGGCAGGAGCAGTAGAGATGTGAAGATGATGTAATCAGTCCATCACCCTTGAAGTCGTAGATTTGAGGTTGTCATTCCCTCAGCCTGGAGAAGTTCTGTTCCAAAGTGTGGAACTAACTGAAGATCAAGCGACAGTATTGAGACTTAAATACTGTCCAAAGGAGTGGTGCAGAGTAGTAGTAGTGAGAATGTAGCCACTTTTTCAAGTGAGAATTGTTTGATCTGAGAGGGACGTGACCTCTCAGTGGCTACATTCTCACTACTACTACTCTGCACCTCTCCTTTGGACAGTATTTAAGTCTCAACACTGTCGCTTGATCTTCAGTTAGTTTCACACTTTGGAACAGAAGTTCTCCAGGCTGAGGGACTGACATCCTCAAATCTACGACTTCAAGGGTGATCAACTGATTACATTGTCTTCACATCTCTACTGCTCCTGCCTACTTTCTGTACTCGACTGAAGAAGCCTACTGTGTAGGCGAAATGTTTCGGAATAAAGTTACTCCACCTATGACTGCTCCACCTCATCTGTCAGCTTTATATAAGCCCATCTCTGTGAATATGCTACAACTTTATCAAGATTAATTTACTGAACACTTCGACTCAAGGCTGGGGAACTGATTACCTGAAACTTCTCCTCAATTTCCACCTTTCTCTGCATTTCCAGAATAAAGATACTCAAATTTTGCACAAGTGTCTAATTTATTTACTTGCAATTTTTTAAATTATTCATTCAAACATACATGTATTACAAGATGTGTTTGTGGTTGCAGGTCTTAGAGAGTACACCAGAGACTGAAAAATTCAGTAAATGGCCTGATGCAGATGTGTTCATCTCATATTTGGACTTTGTGCTAGTAGGTGGATCAGACTTGCTGCCAACATTCACAAGTGTGGCGGAGAGGTTAAGTGTTGCACCTCGTACAAAGTCACTCTTTTCACTTTATAATTTTGTTACCCAGGTTAATACGGATAAAAAGTAAGTGACAATTTTTTCAGTGCATTAGTTTTATTTTGATAACATTCATTTTAAAAGCAAGATGCAGTATGTTCTTATTTTTTAAATATGATACAGTATTATAATGTATTCAATAACAAAATTCCAGTCAATGGAAAATGTAGAATTTTTAGTATAAACCCCTTTGCCATCCTTGCTGTAGTACTACGCCATGAGCTCAGCTCACTCAGATAAGCTATGAGGGGTAAATTTGGTCCTAGGTATAAGAGAATGGGTCTATGCAGTAAGTGTGCACCATATTAAAAAATCCTGCAGTGCTCAGTGCATAATGAGAAAAAACTGCAACCATGTTTTTGGTTTAAAGCAGCAAATCTGTGGTGTATTTTCATATGGTTTTTATGGTTGTATTCTTGGTATTCTTGATTGTTTTTTGATCTCATTTGATAGACTGAAATATATATTTAGATTTAGATTTAGATTTCTTATTTTGACAAATTACATGGTTGTACAGCGGAATATCATAGTTGGGTGTACATGTCAAAAGCCCCTTTGTATGCTGAGCATTTCGGGCAAACTTAAAGATTAACTTAAGAATAGTAAGGCAATAATACATAGTTCATATGGTCATTAGATGAGTTAGAGTGAGTACAAGTGAATTGAATATTATATCAGGTGATGCTACATGGTTTTGATAAGTCTAGTAGACTTTTTACACTATTAAATTAGTTAATAAAGATTACAGTACATAGTACAATGTAACATTTTAAAACAATTTACAGTGCTGATATTTAAAACAATGAAATTTGGTATTACAATGGAACAATTTACATTATGATGTGCTGTATTAAAATCTACTACTATTTAAAACAATGAAAAAACAGACATCCTAATTTCAAAGTAGTAAGTGGTTGAGTATTCATCAGCACAATATGAGTAGCTTTTGAGAAACTGGTAGTGGTTAGGTATGGTTTGTCTGGTTAATTTTGGGTGATGAGGTGATTTTTTATTTGGGCCTTAAACTGATTTGCAGACAGGGGTCCTTTAGTTTGTTCTGGCAATGAATTCCAGATCTTTGGGCCTTTTACGTGCATAGCATTTTTGCATGGGGGAGAGATGAACACAGCCTTTTAATTTGGAAGTCAAATATATGAAAGGCTCAGAGAATGTGGTTGCTGATGCTCTCTCTAGATGTTTCATGTAGATGCATGGTGCGTACTTTGTACATAGAGTTTGTCTTGTGCTGACCTTGTTGTTTTTGCAGTGGTGGACTCTCGGTGAGCCTGAGTACTCTCTACCAGCCATCTGATTGTGAAGGAGTGAGTCAGAGCCAAAAGTGTGACGAGGGTCAGGGTGTACTTAAATGTGAGTTGAGGCAGTGGTTGACAACCTTCGGTAACATGAGACGTTCAGGAAGGTGTGATGTTGTGTCTTGGTGTGCTCTATATACAAAACGGCCCGACGGTTTGCCTTTGTGGTCCCCTGGACCCCTCCATATTCTATGTCAGCCTCCTCTTCATAAGTTTGGAGGATCTGTGTGGAGTGGGACCTCGGAAGATGGGCTTGAGTGCCTGACCATGTTAAGGATCGTGAGTGTTGACTGGAAGTCTCACTGTTTGGTTCGGCCACCAAGTGAGAGACACCTTGACATGTTTTGTGAAGTTTCCTGCCTGGTGTACACCTGACTGCTCTGGGTTTGGCTCTACTCTCGTCTCCTGATCAGGAAGATGCCACCCTGGAGTACCAGTTGCTTGCTGGATTACCGTAGCAGAGGCACAGGCCTGTTGGTGCGGGCTTTCACAGTGGGCATTGTGTGCAATTTTTGCATTGTAATGTGTATTGTTTAAAAGTCACTAAAATTTTAAATAGTTACACCCTTGAGTATATGGGTATGGTTAAAATGCTTTTCTAAAAAATTCTGCAATCTGTTGTAAATAACAGTAAAGTGAAGAGTAGTTATGGTGCTAGGAAATATGTAGCATTTCTAGTAGTCTTGTTTACCGCCTTCAGACTTAAGCAATATACTTTTTACTAGCCGTATCCTGAGGGACACGGCTAGCTTTTGTGAGACTTCGTCTGGAGGTGGGGGTGTTATGGGGCTATAGGACCCAACATGTATTTATAAGTAACAGTTACTATAATAATACCTAATTATATTGAATTGATGGGGACTTTGCTCTAAATGTCAGAAGGACTGATCAACCTTATGACTGAGAGGCAGCTGGGTCAAACCTATTTTTCTCAATATAATAGGTTATACTATAGACACATAAACACACAATTTAAATAAGTAGTTTATAAAGTTGTATTTCTTTTTGTAAAAGTAAAATTAAGAGGTGGTAGAATTGTGGTAACTGGAGAATTGTGCTTGGCAACAGTCTTTTGTTTTGGTGGGAGGAGCTTAGCCAGGCTCTCTCTCTCTCTCCCTCTCACTGACTCTCTCTCTCTGTGGCTGACCTTCAACCTGGCAGGATCTCTGGGTCCTTCTCCTATCTTTTGGGGCATCATGTGTGCTCCAGGGGTGAGTTTTTATAATTTAAGTTTTGGCCACCATACCCAGGGTGACTAAAGTGTGTCAAAACACTGGTTAGCCCAGAGTTATGTCAGGAAGAGTGAAGGACAAGAGTTGTTGCAACACACCATGTGGAGCACAGGCATGGAGTGTGTAGATTTTGTTTTGAAAATGGAGGCTGTGATTGTATATTCTGTACATATCTATTGAGAATACAGTTATATTTTTATAGTAGTAGTTTACATAACCTGTGAAGAGGGCTGGTGAAAGGGTATCAGAGACACTCAAGATGATCAGCCATGATGTAAGTATTACCCCTAGACAAATAAGGCCATTAAGTAAAAGCTACCCCACACTAGAACATGTAGTGAGAACCTTACCATCCAAGAAATAAGGGAAACCAACGTAACAGTGTGCACCATATTAAAAAATCCTGCAGTGCTCAGTGCATAATGAGAAAAAACTGCAACCATGTTTTTGGTTTAAAGCAGCAAATCTGTGGTGTATTTTCATATGGTTTTTATGGTTGTATTCTTGGTATTCTTGATTGTTTTTTGGTCTCATTTGATAGACTGAAATATATATTTAGATTTAGATTTAGATTTCTTATTTTGACAAATTACATGGTTGTACAGCAGAATATCATAGTTGGGTGTACATGTCAAAAGCCCCTTTGTATGCTGAGCATTTCGGGCAAACTTAAAGATTAACTTAAGAATAGTAAGGCAATAATACATAGTTCATATGGTCATTAGATGAGTTAGAGTGAGTACAAGTGAATTGAATATTATATCAGGTGATGCTACATGGTTTTGATAAGTCTAGTAGACTTTTTACACTATTAAATTAGTTAATAAAGATTACAGTACATATTACAATGTAACATTTTAAAACAATTTACAGTGCTGATATTTAAAACAATGAAATTTGGTATTACAATGGAACAATTTACATTATGATGTGCTGTATTAAAATCTACTACTATTTAAAACAATGAAAAAACAGACATCCTAATTTCAAAGTAGTAAGTGGTTGAGTATTCATCAGCACAATATGAGTAGCTTTTGAGAAACTGGTAGTGGTTAGGTATGGTTTGTCTGGTTAATTTTGGGTGATGAGGTGATTTTTTATTTGGGCCTTAAACTGATTTGCAGACAGGGGTCCTTTAGTTTGTTCTGGCAATGAATTCCAGATCTTTGGGCCTTTTACGTGCATAGCATTTTTGCATGGGGAGAGATGAACACAGGGAATATCAAAGAGTGATCTGTGTCTCATATTATGGTTGTGTGTTCTGTTATAGTTATCAAGGAGGGGTTTGAGAGGAGGGTTTACATTAGAGTATAGTGTTCTGTGTATGTAGTAGGCACAATAATAAGTGTGGATGTTTTGTATATTTAGCAAGTTAAAACTCATGAAAAGAGGTGGAGTGTGTTGTCTAATGCAGGAGTTAGTAATCAATTACACTGCAGATTTTTGCTGGGTTATTAAAGGCTTAAGGTGATTTGCTGTGGTTGAGCCCCATGCACAAATACCATAGGTGAGTTAAGAGTAAATGAGAGAGTGGTACAAAGCTAGAAGAGCTGATTGGGGTACATAGTACCATATCTTTGAAAGGATGCCTACTGTTTTGGAGACTTTCTTGGAAATTTGTTGTATGTGTATCTGAAATTTGAGACTGCAGTCAAGGTGGCGACCTAGAAATTTGCCCTCTGCCTGTCTCGAGATAGGTGAACCATTTATCAACATGTTTAGCTGTACATTTGAAGCTCTATTTCCGAAAAGCATGAAGTAGGTGTTGTCTATATTGAGAGTAAGTTTGTTGGTAATCATCCAAGTAGATATTTTTAGCAATTCAGCATTTACTGTGTCTGTTTGTATGGTTGGGTTTGGATGAGAAAAGACATAAGTTGTCATCTGCAAATAAAATGGGCTTAAGGAGATTAGATACATTTGGTTGGTCATTGATGTAAATGAGAAAGAGAAGTGGGCCAAGGACGCTCCCCTGTAGGACTCCAACAAGAACAGGTTGTGTAGTGGAACAGTCTCTATTTGTGTATACATACTGGGTTTGGCCATTAAGATAAGATTTAAGGTAATCGAGAGAGTGTCCTTTGACCCCGTAATGTTCGAGTTTTTGGTGGAAAAGGTCATGGTCATCTGTATCAGAAGCTTTTTGTAAGTCTATGAACAGTCCCAGGGAAAATTTCTCGAGTGCAGAGTATATTAGTTCAAGCATCATTAGTACTTTTTTTCGGTCTAAACCCAAACTGACAAGGGTTGAGTATGTTGTGGGATATGAAGTAAGAGTAGACTTGTTTGTATATTAATTTTTCAAAGATTTTAGATAGGGGCAGGTTTGATATAGGCCTATAATTGTTCAGTTCAGTTGGATCTCCTCCTTTGAGGATCAGGGTGACTCTTGCTATCTTGAGTATGGATGGGAAGGTGGAAGATTCAATGAATTTGTTAAAAAGAGTTGCAATAATTGGTGACAACACATGAGAAGCTTTTT